CCGGGGACTGCGCCTACCTGATGAGCCCGAAGTGGAGGGGCGAAACCGGTCGTGGGCTGTCGATGGATTTTCAGCAACCTTATGAGTAGCACATTACAAATATAAAAATGAACTCTGTTCAGATTACCGGCATTGGGCCTACTCCAGCTGGGATTAGCGATTAGGTGGCCGCGCCTACTTGATGAGCGCGAACAAGAAGGGCGAAACCGGCCATGTGTTGTCGAAGACTTCTCTCTCTCCGACAGTTTGGACTCCCTTCATCGCACGAGCTTGGCTGATGCTTAGCATGAGTTCTCAAAGCGCCTTCCTTGACCGGATTTCTGTGAGTAGCCGACTGTGTGCAGTCAAACTGTCCGATTCGCTCAGATTTCGAAGTCCAACATTTTCGCTTGCCTGTGCATACGCCCTGATAAATTGTAGGGAGTGTAACTGTCAAGGGTATCTTTAGGGAACTTTCCAGACTTTTCAGAGTGGTGGATATCATTCCCGCTGAGGATTTCAATGCCCAAACAGGAGAAGTTGGCAAGGTTGGAATTCCTCTCAGCAGTAAACTTAATGGATGTCCATTTGTTCGATCGGCCGATTCAACGGAAGGGCTGTGGTGAATATCGTTCATCCCTAAATAAGTGGGCTTTTTCCAGCCTCCCTTAATTAACTGCTTTACTTGGGTGATAGGGCCCGTAAATGACCCTATCCTCACATTCCGCTACTTGCTGGTAAGGTCTCATATCCGACAATCCCATAAGATTCAGTCGCTTTGGTTCTTGTGGATACACGCACTTGTAGAGGCGTTCGTAACGTCATTGAGTTGTCACTAGTATGCCGTCTTATGTCGAAGAAGTGACTAACAGTGAGCCGTGTTCACCTTCACGAGGCAAGTGTGTGGTTGTGGTCTGGTTGTTCCATTTGCTCTTGTGGGCAGAGGCTAGGACATACTGTGTTTAAATCTCTGCACGGGCTTACGCATTTTCGTGGTGAAATGCCATACTGTTTTGGCCTAAACACTGTTGCTGTCCGTCAGTTACTGCGGTTTGAATGGCATCTGTGGACAAAAGTGTACTATTCCTGATGGGAATTCTTGTCATTGTTTGTCGAACTTCATATACGACTTGGTCTCAGCAGAGTTTACTCGGTTCCCCTGTGAAGGCACACAAAGGTCTGCCAAAACGTCGAGGTATGGAAAGTGTTAGTGTGAGGCTCAGACCACTCTAAACCCAAACGCTTACCTACACTGCCCTACTAATAACTGGGAACAGTGAAATGGCGGATTCTGAGGATCACTCAAATGAATGTGGCTTTCATCACCGCTATGAGAGGCGCGTGTAAGCAAGTCTAAAAACGGAAATTCCCCACTGAAAGCATGTTCCAATATATGTGAG